AAAATCCACAACATCACCAACACACTGGAGCAGCCAATCAGTGCAGTCATTAACTTTTCAGCCAATCAGAGCAGACCCATATCCTCCGTGTGTGAAGGGCAGGAAGACAGTGAGAGACAGAGAGAGAGAGAGGAAGAGAAAAGTTGAGGAGGAATCATGGACAGAGGTGTTGCAGCAACCAGCAATCAGGTAAAATCCAAAAATACTGACATGTTGGATATCTGTGCAGTCTGGGCAATGAATGACTGCTTGTTGTTTTTGTTGCACTTTATTAGTATTCATTAGCATGGTTTACTTAAATAAGCTTAGCTAAAACATGCTTAAAATAGCTTAAATAACATTTTACAACCTGTTACTTGCATTTAAATATACCCAGGCTCCCTCTAAACAGGCTGGGTTTTAAATTGTTGTTTTTATCAGCTGATTTTTCCCTGATAGATCACAGCATGCTTTTGCTCAGACTGGAAACTTTCAATGAGTTTCAAAGGTATTAGAACAGCAGGAATTATTTTTGCAGATTTTACTGATCTAAAATTTTTAAAAATGTAACTTAAAATGTCAGTTTATTTTTATTTTTTTGTCACAGGAAGAGAAAATATACAATTTGTTAAAAAAAATAATAATAAGTGTATCATTTTAATTGTGCAATGGGTTACAAAATTCAGGGTTCAGTTGAGATGATGTGTCATGTCCGATTAAGGAAACACAATGGAACAGGACCCAAATGCAAGAATAAAAAACTTAAATACGTTTATTAAACAAAAGATCAAAACAACCAAATCATGACATTATGGATCGATTCATTGTTTGCATAAGATAAACAAGAATAAAAGGAAACTAAATTTAATAATTTACCCAGGAATGTGGGAAATATTATTTTATAAAGTAAAGAAAGCATAAACTTACACCCAGATAATTAAAGTAATAATATTAAACTCTAGAATGTATGTGTATGTATGTGTATGGCAAATATCATGGGGTGTGATGGAAACAGGTTACAGATTATCGGTAATTGGTTCACCAATATATTGGGCTTCGATGAACAGTATTTTTGTGTCCATGTACAGGAACCTGATGAGGAGCCTCAGACAGCAGGACCACAGCAGCAGGAATCTTCTGACTGCAGCCCTCCAAGCAAGCAGTATGAGAGGTGCAAGCACAAGTGTCTCATTTGTGGGGAACTGTATGCTGATATAGTCCAGCACCTGAGAAGCACAGAAAAGGTGGTCAACAAAACAGAGTTGAGTCTTCTGAGCAAGTTTTCTCATCGACAGTAAGTGTCCTGTTTCCTCTTAAGGATGCTCTTAAAGAGGCTTCTTATGGTGCTTTTTCACTATCAATGAAATAGGGTCCAAAACAATATTGTTAATCAGTGTTGTATAGTAAGTTGTTGCTTTTAAAAAAATCACTGTAATAAAAGTGCTTTTTTCAGTAACAAATAACGTAATGCAAATGTAAATATCGGTCTGTGATGAATGAGGCTACAACTGATTTTGCAAAAGTCTCTTAAAAATAGATGCAAGGCAGGTCATGAATAATCTGTATTAGCAAGTGTCATATATTTTTAACATTTTTAAGTGTTAAGTGGTCACACATGTTACAAAGAAATGTGTGCATATTTTCTTAGTACTTTGTTTCATTTCACACTTCTTACAAACATGTTTTCGACTACTAAATCAAAGACTCTTCTTGCTTCTCCAGTTTTCGCGCAAATCTGGACTGCCCAGTGCGTTTCTGCCAGTCTAAATATATTAACCGACTCGACAAGCATCTGCAAAGGATCCACAGCCTGAAGGTAGTCCCTCTGTGTGATTTATGTGTGTTGTTGAGTCAGGTTGAGATCTTAAGCCCAGCAACTTTGGTCTTTGTTGTGTTTCTTGTTCTTCCTTGCTGTGTGGTGGGTCTGTGGTCTTCATTTGATCCTTGTGTGGTTAATATAGATTCAGAAATGCTGTATTTATTTAGTGCTACACATCCCACAGAAAGAATATTGCTGGTTAAATACATGCATGATGCTAAAGGTAATGAGATATTAATAATGCAACTTTTTCAGACAGAATGAAATGATTTACTAAATGTATGTTCTGCTTTTTTTGCAGAAGCCAATGGTTAAACTGTACATCCAGAAAGCGAAGGACAGATACATTGCGAGAGAACTGGCCCTCCTACGTGCCTCGAAACCCACACCACCAATGGTCTCACATCTTGACGAGGTGGATGATGCAGCAATCGAAGAGGGTGTCAGGAGGGTGATAGAGGCTGCTTCCCATGCTGCAGCTTCTACCACTGTGCCTCCTCTTTCGTGCCCCATGTCTAGTTCTCCCCTTGCCAGCCAGGGTTCTTGTGACCCAAAAACAAAAACTATGCAGGATCCTTCTCCCTCAACCAGCCAGGCTTCTTGTGACCCAGAAGCACCAGCTATGCTGGATCCTTCTCCCTCACCCAGCCAGGCTTCTTGTGACCCAGAAGCACCAGCTATGCTGGATCCTTTTCCCTCAACCAGCCAGGCTTCCTGCTACACAGGAACAGTTGACCAACAGGCCAAGCGAAGAAGAAGGCGTTCTGTCCTGAGGGCCCCTGATCCTGGGTGCAGGAACTGCCAGCTTCTCTCTGCTGAACTAAAGGTGGCGAAGAACCTGCTCCAGATGAGGAACGATGAGCTCAAGCAGCTACATTCTTCAACAATGCGTGCAACTGTGAGTGTTGAGTTATTCCTCTGGTGTACTTCTTAAATATGACCATTTTTTTCAGTAACTCTTGATTAAGAAAATCTGCTTCATGTGCTTTTTTCAGGCAGCAAAACATCGCAGACGTGCACCATTGTCCCCCAGCAAAGCCCCTTGCTATGGTGAAGATACCCTCATATCATAGTCACTGTACTAGTATTGAACTTGAAAGATAGGGGATGTTGTGTTAATGTGCAGATCCATGCAAAAATATTTGATTTGCTTTTTATTCTTTCTTCAGTAAGATTGGTCGAGGAATTTAGGGGCCACACAGAAGGTGCCAACCCTGGTAGAAAAACTTCTGAAAATGCCAAGCAGCGAGCCAAACATGTTGTCGATTTTCTAGAGTACATGGCAGACTCAGCAATCCCAAATGTTGACCTTCTTTTCCTGAGTAACCATGCTAGAATCCGTGGGTAAGTACTACACTGTAAGAAGCATCAGTGCGTCGAAGGGTAGAGGACATGACTGTATTTGTATTTTTGTCTTCAAGTTTTGTTGCAGTCCTTCAAGAAAAAGGCTTCAAACCAACAACCCAGAGATGTTATCTGATGGATGCTGTGGCCTTTATGAAATATATTTCAAACATGGCACCACCATCTGTCAGACTCGGAACAAAAAATATCAACGCCATCTTGGTAGAGCTGAGGGCCCGGATCAGAGATATTGGCCGGGATGTGGTCGGGCACCAGCTCAGTGTGAGGCGAAGTAAATCTGGTATGTTTAACATTCATAACCCCACCTCCAAACATTAACATTACATCGTTAAAAGCAGGGAACATGCATATAATAAATGATATTCAAAATTTCAGAGAGACTGGTCAAGGCACAGAAACATGCATGGTTTATAGATGAGGCTCCAAAGAAGATCACTGCAGTACTGGGTATGGATCATTGCTCAGCATAAGTTTCAGATTTGTAAAAATAAGGTTTATTTAATGTTATGGGGCTTCTCCAGACTCAAACTTTGGGTGAAGATACCGTTCTGCAGATTTTACATTACAGGGATTAGCATCTACAAACTGGGTTTTTATATATGGGCTGGTCTCTGCTGCTTTTGTGTGGCCAACGTGTGGTACTTAGGTAAAGAACATCATCATTGCAAGTGAATGCATACAATGTCCTTCCTCTGCTTTTACAGTTGACCTTGAGAAGCATCCAGAGGACCGAGCATGTCTGAAAGAGTTTTTTGGACTGCTGGGTGGATATATTATTGCAACAACAGGCCACCGAAAGGGTGTTGTGATCAACATGACCACAAAGGAGGTCAAGGCAGCAGAAAAGACTAAGCAGGGTGCCCGCATCATCCGTGTAAGTGCAAACATTATTACAAAAACTGAAAGGACACAAGAGACATACACATCGTTATATCAGTTGGTCAGAGTGAAAAGTCAACATTCCTTAATTATTAGGTTGGACAGCACAAGTCTCAAAGGTACTTTGGTGAAGCAGCTGTACCCCTCAAGCCAAGCGAGTATTCCTGGTTGCAGCGTTACAACCTGCTTAGAAACAGAATTGAAGGAGGCAAAGAGGCTTCTACCTTCTTTCACACAACCAGTGGAGGCATCCTGCTGAAGCTGTCTGAATATTTCAAGGAGGCCTGGGAGGGGATGGGCTTGGGGACAGCCCCAACTTTCAACATGCTGCGCTCCTCTGTTGCCACTTATGTGAGATAACTTATCATGTTTTTTTTTGTATCTTAAAAACATGTAACGTAAAGTGTGGTGAAAAGTTAATGAATTTTACACTTGTGTGTATTTCTTTTTTACATTCATTCCTCCAGGCCAAGCGGCAGTTGGGCCATAAAACCTACCAGAAAGTGGCGACTTTTATGTGCCATGATGCAAACACAGCCAAAAGATTTTATCAAGGTTTTTTAAACAATCTAAATCAATGCCAAACCTATTTTTTCTTGTAGTATCCATCAACTTGTATTCATTTTATCCATTTCTTTGCACAGCGGAGGACCCAGCAGAGGTCACACTCCAGAGTAGAGGATTGTCAATGATGGCAATTTCTACATATGCTGCAAAGACAAGGAAACGCAGAGAGAAACACAAGAAAGACAACACCATGACCATTGCTTCTTCGGAGGATGAAAGGGAGGACAACGAACCTGCACAAAATGAAGACAATCAAGGGTTTGAAGAGGAGGAGCAGGAACCATTGGGCCAAGAGAAGCGTGTGAGAAAAAGGCTTAACCAGCTGTACAGCAACAAGAACCTTGTGCCGTCAGACCAGCAGGTGAGACATGTGACTAGCTGCAGTGTTTCCACACACAAATTAAAATACATCATTCTAAAATGAGCTTAATATATTTTATTTTTCCTAAAAAAAAGATGGTGAGCTCATCTGATGAGGATGTTGCAGGTGATAAGAAAACCACACTAACTGAAACAGTACCAGATCCTGATGAGGAACATGTGCCAAAAAGGACTTACCAGCTGCGTGAGAAAAGGGCATCTGTGCCTTTGAACCAAAAAATGGTGAGTTTTGACAGTTTTCAGTACTTCCACATAGTACAAAGCTTTTAATATTCTTTTGACTTTTCGTTAAAAAACAGACGGTGACCTCTTTTAAAGAGGATGGGACAGATAAAAGGGAGGTTGAGTGCCCTTTCCAGAAAAGAGAGGTGAGAGTAATAATTAGATTCAGTGCTTCCCCACATTCTACTAGCTTTCAATTCAAAATCAGTAAAATTAATCTTGTGTTACCTAAAAACAGAGCTTTAGTTCATCTGAAGGTGATAGCTCCACTGATGAATGGAAACCCACACAGCAGGAATAGGAGAATGATTCTGAAGAAGAGGAGGAAGAAGTCCTAAAAAGGGTTCACAAGGAGACCAAAAGAAAGAGATCTAAGAGGGCTGTCCTGCAAAGAGAGGTGAGATCTATCATCAGTTTAAGTGTTTAAAAGTACTGAAGACCTTCAGAGCTAAATGAGTTAATGAGATTTAATGAGTTAAAACCACACAGGAGGAATCAGAGGGTGATTCTGAAGAAGAGGATGAACAGATCATAGGAAGGGTTCACAAAATGGCCAAAAGAAAGAGATCTGAGAGCCCTGTCCTGCAAAGAGAGGTGAGTCATTATCAGTGTAAATGCTTAGGAAAATACTAAAAGCTTTCAGTCCAAATGAACAAATTATTTTTGTCTTTCATAAAACCAGCTGAGGAGCTCATCTGAAGTTGAGCAGGTTGGTTCAAGGGTCCGTGCACTGAGAGTAACAGAAAAGGAATCAGAGGAGGAGTGTACGAGAGGAGAGAGTCCATGTCTGCCTGAGAAAGAAGGGGAAGCCCTGTCAAAAGGAAATATGGGGGAAAGTGGTGAGGAAGATGTGTTGCAGAATGAGGTAAGTGAAGTGGCTAGTACATCAAACAAGCAATAATCATATCACAAAAAGCTAAAGTTTTACCACATTAGCAAAATAAAAACTTGAAACTAGGCTTTTAAAACCCACACTTGTCTATTTCATTTGTTCTTTAATTCATATTGTTAAATTAACAGGATACACGAGCATTGATGAGCCAATCTCCAGACCTAAAACTGAATACAGCCCTGGTTTCACTGAGTCCTGTCACTCTCAAGACACCTGTAGTAAGTATAATGTCAACATATACCACCATATACCACATATAACACAAACAAGAAAAGCTGTTACTCATGTCAGAAAAAGTATTTTACAGTAAACAGACTTGTTTAGACATCAGGTCCATTCTTTACAATAAAGGGACTCTTACATAAATGTTGGATCTTTGTGTGTAGGTGATAAAATCTGTTTCTATGAGGCCAACAAATCAAAATGATAACTTTTGACTGTGAAGTAGATCTGCTCGCTTTTTGTTAATAATTAGTGGCTTTACAATGTTTACAACATGCTTTGACGAGCTACATGATCTAGAAAATATTTTAACATCTTATTTATTTTTTGTTTTTTTAGACGCAGCAGGCTTTTGTAAGCCCAGGAACAGCAAAGATTTTGACAACTCACTCAACAAAAACTGTGTGGACCGAGTCAATATGGTGAATAAGATGATTTTCCACCAGTCATCTTTGTTTGAAGTCATCATGCCAATATCTGGTAATTATGGGAAAATATGACAAAGTGAAGTAATAGAGCCTGGACAAGAAAAGTTGCATGTTATAATACATTTATGTATTTATTATACACTTTTAAGGCGACAACATTGAACACCAGGCTGGATCCACAGTTGGACAGATGATTCCCTCAGGTAAATACATAGTACAGTGCACAGGATAAATACTGGTACAGTTTTCAATAGTAACCAATCATTATTTACTTAACATAAAGGATCCATGGGGGAAACTGTGTCCAAAGAGTGGCTGTTGGAGAATGAAGTCTCAGTGGGAGACACAACATTGCACAAGAGCCTGCCTGAAGAAAGACCGGGAGATTATGAAGGACAAGAAAAAGAAGGTGAAGTGGATGAGGGCTATTTGGAGAAGTCAAAGATTGAAGGTGAAGACAGAAATAAGACAGAAGATAAGATAAAAGAAGGACAAAAGACAGAGAAAGAGACACAGAAAGAGGCTTTGGAGAAGATGGACAGTGATGGTGAAGAAGGACAAAAGGCAGAGGAAAAGATCCACAGTGATGGTGGAGAAGGACAAAAGACAGACGAAAAGAGACAGGAAGAGACTTTGGAGAAGATGGAGAGTAAGAGTGAAAGAGGAAAGAAGAGAGAAACAAAGATTCAAGATGAGCCTGCGGTGATGACGAGGAGTAAAGTTAAAGAAATGCAAAAGAGAAAGATAAAAGAGGAGCATCTGGAGAAGAGTGAGAGGGAAAGTGGAGAAGGATCAAGTGGAGCAGCACAAACCTGGAAGATGCCTTTGAAGAGAAGGAAATTTCAAGAATGACGGGAAGAAAGGAGAAGGCAGGAGGAAATAGAAACTGTTCAAAACTTATGCAACATTAAAATGTTCAGTCACCATACAGAGTTCCTTGAATTTGATGTGTTCAATAGAACTGCTCTACTTGAAAAATAGTGGAATTTATTTTTCCGCAGTTCATAAGTCCGGTAATAGAATAGAATAGAATAGAATAGAATAGAATAGAATAGAATAGCCTTTATTCATCCCACACTGGGGAAATTCTGGTTATTGCAGCAGCAAGAGGATAGGAGAATAATAAATAAATATAACAGTATATACAATATAAACAGGAAAAAGACAAAAAAACCAACAACAGCGACATACAGTGACATACAGTGACAAACAGAAACAACGGCAAGACAATGGCAACGGTGCATAATGGATAATTTCAAAATCTGCATGTTTGAGTATCTATTGCACATAACAGTTTATTATTGAGTCCGAGTGTATGAGTGGTCTACCAAGAGCAGTGCTGGTTAATCCTAGCATTTAAATCTTTACAGGGTTTAGCTAAACATCTCAGGGATCTCAGGCTGAAAGTTTTGTCAGTTATTCTGCACTCCATGTGGGCCAGTCCTGTGGTGGTTTGAACCCTCTCAGTCTTTCCATCTGCCAATGAGGTCCATATTTGGCCAAACAGGTCAAAGTTATTCTCGAGCCACCTTTGTACTTTTAATAAATAAATGGTCTATACTGTAATGTTAGATCTGACCAATAGTGCAGAATCACTGACTAAACATTTCTAAACCAGTTTCTAGAAGTTAGAGGCCCTAATTTATTTCTAAGTTATTTCTCCTAGTTCAAGTTTCAGGCCTCCACCTGCTTTGGTGACCAAATGAGGTCAAAAGAGCAACTGGTCTGGGAAGGCCTCAGTCAGTGTCAAAGGTCATTGGAGATCATCCTTTCATTGTATATATTAAAAAAAATCTGCAACTGCAATTCACAGGACATGGTCCTTGGTGGGCCTAGATAATGTGTATAAACTTTGGTGGATGTAGCCCCAAGGATTCACTTAACAAGACAATCCAGCACCAACACCTACAGATGGTCTAAGGGCCTGAATCTTTCTTGGTCCAACCAGAGAAACTTTTTTTCCTCTCAAGCTAGAAGTCTGAAAGTTTTGTCAGTGATTTTGCACTCCACGTGGGCCAGTCCTGTGGTGGTTTGAACCCTCTCAGTCTTTTCATCTGCCCATGAGGGGTCACTCCATTTAAATGTTTTCAACAGTTTTAGGCACATAAATGGGCCAATATAGCTCCTGTTGCGGAAATTTCCTCCTTGTTGTTGAAATTCTCGATCTGCCTGTAGAGAGTCAAAAAACAAGACTGGAAAGGTAGCATGCACCAAGTGTTTATTCTCTATTGAGAGGGAACATCACACAGAACCACATGGCAGTAAGCAGTTCAGAGTTGTGCCCCCTGACCAAATGTTTCACCCCGTTCTTAGCAGCAGAGTTTACCAGACCATCCTTTTGGTCATTCCAGCAGTACACAGTTCAGGCTACAGACTAACTACAGAAAGTACAAGATCAAACTATATAAGAGTGTAAGATTTTCTAGATGTTACTACAAAGAATGCAAAATTCCATCACACTCTAAATGAGCTGAACCTGTCAGGAAGCACTTATATCACATGTCCAAGCCAGGTTCTAGAAGTTGGAGGCCCTAAGTTATTTCTAAAGATACTTCCAGTGTATTAGTAGCAATAAACATGCTTCCTGGATAACATGATTTTACACATCTCAGGGATCTCCTCGTTCAAGGTTCAGGTCTCCATCTGCCTTGGTGGCCAAATGAGGTCAAAAGAGCAACTGGTCTGGGAAGGCTTCAGTCAAGGTCAAAGGTCATTGGAGACCATCCTCTCAGTACATACATTAACAAAAAACCAGCTGCTGCAACTTCTTCCCTTAACCTAAAAATACACTGGCTGATTCATGAGGCCTCTAGCATTTTCCCCCTGGTACATAGAAAGCTGAAATTGACAGGACATGGTCCGGGGGGGGGGGGGTGTACATAATCTGTATAAACTTTGGTGGATGTAGCCCCAAGGATTCACTTAACAAGCCAATACAGCACCAACACCTACAGATGGTCTAAGGGACTGGTTAGGGGTTAGGTTAGGGGACTGAACAGGAACCACTAATGTGGTCCCCGAGGTGCACTGTCCACCCTGTGGATGGCCACTCCCCCATCCCCATCTTTTATTGCTTAGGTTTTATGAGCGGTGTATATATTCAATAACGTATTTATTTTATAATTTAGTATTATTTATTCTTAAAGTAAAATTTATATCAAGTATAATTTCTGCTTCTTTTTGCTGTTTTTTAAATTTTTTTATTTTTCCATTTTTTTGGCTTTTTTGTTTTTTTGTTGTTTGGCTTTATGTATTGTTTTTTATGTATGTATACGGGGTATGTGCCACCCTGGAAATGTGCAGGGATGGCCTTTAAAAGTGTGTGAGCGAAAGGGGAGGTACATTTTTGGAATCCTTGGGCCCCGGCGATGCGAATGGTCATAGCCCTGCACCCAATTTTCTCAAAGCATGATGGGTAAAATGAGAAAAAAACTTTTTTAGTGGCTTTATCGTAGAGTTATGGCTTTGAGATTTTGGCTACCCCCCATTTGTGGCCACTGGCTTTCCGATGGTAGCACCCCTGTGTCTCTACGACTTGCGGTTCCGGAGTTGCAGCGACTTGTAGATAGGGGCCTGAGACACCGCCTCCCCCCCCCCCCCCCCATTTGTAGCAGCTGCGAGTCCAAGGGTAGCACTCTGGAGTCTCTAGGACGTAGGGTTCGGTAGTTATGGCCAATTTAAAATCCAGCCGGAGCACCGCCGAAAAGTGGTTAGGAGCGCGTTTCGGACCATTTCCCGCCTTTTTGGTCCCGGCTTTCTTCCAAATTTGTATCAGCTGTAACTCGGCGGGTAAGCAAGATATTGTAACGGGACCTCATCCTACCCCCCCATTTGGGACCCCTGGCTTTCCAACGGCACCACCCCCATTTCTCTACAGCTTTTGTAAGGGGTGGAGAGATGGAAGCAAGACTAGCGTGTTCAGGGTTCCCGAAGTAGGGGGGGGTAGACCCCGGTCTCGAGTCTCTAGCATGTGCGGTCCTGGATTTATAAAGAAAACAAATTTAATGTGAGGTGTGAAAATTTCAGTGTCACACCCGAAAAACATTCCTCCCAAAGTGGTTAGGAGCATGTTTCAGACTATTCTGAGTCGATTGGACATGGTTTCTAATGACATTTTTTTTTTCCGCCAGGTGGCGCTATCGTTACCAAATTATAGGGACCAGTTCTGGGGGTCAGTCTGACTCCAACGGTACCACTCCCGCACGTTTCTGACCTTCCTAGGCCAAGTTATGAGGCAAAATCGTCTGTAAAAATGTTGTCAATTTTAAGTTCCTAACTCCGGAACCATGATAGGTAGAGCCTTGAAATTTTTTGTGTGTGTGTTTTGGAGCATCCTCTTCCCTTCTGTAATGGGTCCGACGTCACTTTCCACTTCCCGGTAGGGGGCGCCATAGACTCCATTGGTTAGGTAAATAATAGTTAAGTAAGGTATAAGTATGTTTCTTTTACAGGTGGACTCTTTGGTCTCGCCTCAGTGATCCTAGGACTCCAGAATGGCTCCACCCAGCACAGCATACTCCTGCCTTACCAAACAGGAGTAAGCTATGCTGGGTACAGCCTTTCTGGAGACTCCTAGTACCACTGTGGCACGCAAGCCTCCACGCCACGTCAAGGCAGAGTCCTTGTAGAGGTTTTTTTTTTTTTTGCATTTTTGTATTTTTTTTTTTGTTTTTTGTTTTTTGAATGAACACGCGCAGAACCTAATCCTATCCTCTAACGCTAACCTCTATCCCTTATCTCTAATCTCTAACCATAATATAGTTAGCTAGGTACACCATATGAACATATATCCAAAAAAAAAAAAAAAACTCAAAATCGCTGTTGCCAGGAAACAAAAATACTGAAGTCTATACAGACACTGACTTCAAACTACTTTTTCTTCATGTCGTACCTCTTCCTCTGGAAGGCATTCTTTGATCGAATGACCATCCCCTGACTGTGGCAAGCCCTGACATACTCTTGGTAGTCAGAGGCCAATGTGCCCTGCGTTCGCACCAAACTCATCTCCTGGGCTGTCCAGGCTTGAGTTGACAATGTCGGGACTGCTAAGCTGGCAGTGCGGCCTGGCTTCTCCTGGTCCTCCTCCCTCTGGAGCTGAACATCCCCCAGGTCTGGGTCAGATGGAAGGAAGTCCACAGCTTGTGGCTCCTTTTCAGCAGGGGGACTGTCAGCTTTTCTTTTTTTGTCATTCACCTTTGTTGGTATGTCATCTGCCAGCTTATAGAGGGTACAGTCGCGGCAGATGGTTCGAAAAGTGAACACGGACCGCAGCTTGAGGTCCAACAAGCGTTTTTGGCTTACCGGCAGGAGTTTGTGCAGTTCGGACAGGATCACATAGTCAATGAATCCACCCTCCTGCAGTATGGCTATGGCTGATAGA